TAATGATTGATCATGAAAGTGTTCTCAAAGCTGGTAAAGGTGCAGCTAGTTTGAATGACTTTGTATACTGCAGGGTAGCTTGTGGATTTACTCCAGGTGGAACTAAAGTCTGATTTAACACTTGATTATATTTCACATCATTCATCCACATCTGTGAAGTAACTAAAGTTATTAAATACATGTAGGGGAGTCAAAGTAAACCATGTACCTCTGAATTGTTGTGGAGTAGAAGAACAAAGTAGCACATTTGGATTAATTTTTATTTCCCTAACTTTGCTTAACGTGTTGCAACGATCACTGCACCAATAATGTAGCAATGCACCAGCAAAGTTGGCTGTTATGTGGAAATAGTACATAAATTCAACCGAGGCCTTCACAGCTACCTTAATAAACCTGTTCCCCATGTTCAGAGTCAGCATGCAGAGTGGTGTACCTGACAGCTGTGTGAGGAGGACTCCAGCGCCCCCTCTCTGACTGGGGACCCTCCACTGGAGCCGCTGGAGTCTCCGTTATAGCCCTCCTCACTGGTCACATCCTGAGGCCAGCAGTGCCGGTGAGGAGCAGCACGGACCCTGCAGGTGGACTGCACGCACGCACGCACGCACGCACGCACGCACGCACGCACGCACGCACGCACGCACGCACGCACGCACGCACGCACGCACACACACACACACACACACACACACACACACACACACACACACACACACACACACACACACACACACACACACACACACACACACACAGCTGTAATACATTTATAGAGTGGTCCTAAAACCCAGAAATGACATAGCATGTCAGCATTTCCAGGTCCCTCGTCTTGAAGTCAACAGTTGTTTTGTTTGTTTTTGTTTGTGGTAAGCCTAGAAGAAGTTCTGTGGTTAATCCAGGTTTAAGAACGTTTTTTACATATTATTCTCTGACCAAAGCTTCTTTGTATCATAAAAAAATAGCAGTTGCTAGGAAGTGACAAAATTAGACTTCTTAAATTCATCCCACCAAGCATAAGCATCCTTCAGCTTAGCATTGAGTAGCCATGCGACTAATGCAGTTTATTATTTTAGCTTTTTAGTTCTGGAAATTGCAATTACCTTTCAAATATCACAAAGTGTTTTTAATATATTGAGGTTATCCTGCAGAAAAAAATGTTTAAGTATAATAAACGTGTGTTTGCTCAGATCTTATTTTCTGCAATATTCCAAACCCAATGGAAAAATACCATAGCATTTTAGTTGTGGGAGCCCTTGCAATGCCAACTTCTATGTCGGCCTACAAATATACATCTTTGCCGCACCAATCTAATAAAAGTGTGACACAAGAAGACAGTCGGTGTCTTAATTTTGTTAGATAATGTTTTGGGAGTTTTTTGTCTTTAAATTAGAGTACATTACAGTACAATTATTACAAAGATTATATACATATGTAGTTTGGAGTCCCTGCTTTGTCTTTTGGGATGGAAGGTTAGATGGATGGTTGGATGGTTGGATGGATGGTGTACCTTGTTGCTCCTGAGGGCCAGGTCCAGGGCGTGCTGATTGGACAGGTGTGCAGCAGCAGTATTGTAGGGGACGTTGTAGTCTTCATCAGGATACACAGGCACTGACAGCCTGTTCTCAGACCACGTCTCTCTCATAGACTACACAACAGGCAGGGGACAGGGTCAGATGACACACACTACGACAAAAGAGGCTGTATTTTGCACTCTCTCAACACAACCTGCTCATGTGTGCTTACCTTGGGTGTGCCCAGGCTGTGCACGCGGGCGGATGGGTGATGGTGTGTGTTGTGGAGGTGCTGTATAGTGAGGAATTGATTGTGGTGGGGGCTGCTGGTGTTGTCGCTGCATGAGCGGGTCATGGTCTTCTGCGCTCGTTTAACTGTCAGCTGACTGAAAGTCTTCTCCAGACAGCGCTCACACCTCTGCCGACTGTGAGAGCAGGGCTCCAGTCTGCGCAGACCTGGGGCCAGCAACACAGGACAGAGGTTCACGGTGGATCTTTAACAATATGCAACTCTGTAATACAATTCAGAAGACCTAAAACCGAAAGATGTAACTGTGGAATGAATAATAATAAATATATCACCATCAATACTCCACTGGCTCTTCTCCTTCCTCAGTTTGCTGTTTTCCACTGCCTGAGCGATAGCATCATTCAGCTGCTTCCCTGACACCTGGACCATATAGTGCAGAAGAAGAGATTGTCAAGGGGTTAATGAATGAGTCAGAATGGCAGCTCTTAAACAAGTTCAAGATAGTTTTCAAGGTAAAAAAAGGATATCATATAAGAGTTTTAAAATATCTTCATTATATTAGGTAAAAAGCCTTAACCCATACTCCAGACAAAGACTAATAGAGGATGACGGCAGAATAAAGTCGACACCAACGTTTTGTGTGTGTCCATTTGAGTAAAATGGTCACATCTAGTATGACTTGAGGATTTTTTATTCTAGCATTTCAGACAACCCACACTTCAGACTTTTTTTAGACACAGATACGAAATCAATTAATTAAAAAAGGCATGTATTACTGTTAAAGTAAAAGAGTATACCTGCTAAAGAAGTGATTGTTCGCATGTTAGCATGCTGATGTTAGCATGCTGATGTTAGCATGCTAAAAGTAGTGATTGTGCAGATTGGTCCATTTCAGAATAATATGATATGTTTTATAATGATTGATCATGAAAGTGTTCTCAAAGCTGGTAAAGGTGCAGCTAGTTTGAATGACTTTGGATTCTGCAGGGTAGCTTGTGGATTTACTCCAGGTGGAACTAAAGTCTGATTTAACACTTGATTAAATTTCACATCATTCATCCACATCTGTAAAGTAACTAAAGGTATTAAATACATGTAGTGGAGTAAAAGTACAGCATGTACCTCTGAACTGTAGTGGAGTAGAAGAAAAAAGTAGCAAAACATGGAAATACTCTAGTAAAGCACAACTATTTCAAAATTGTACGTACAGTACTTGAGTAAATGTTACTTCCCACCTCTGTTTAGGGGTGTTACATAATTTGCCTCATAAGCCAAGAACTGCCTGTTGTAGAGACCCTAAACATTCATTCATCATTCATTCCACTCTGTTGGAGTTTGGCCTGAGGGAGGAGGCCAGAACACTGGGATGAAAGCCAGGAGCCATGGAGCTAACACTCAGAGGCCCCAAGCTGAACCAAGGGGCCAGCCCCTCCCTGTGAGCCCGTAAACCTGACCCGAGTAGGGAATGAGGTGTTGGCGTTGCATACTTTGGGGTCGGGGTGTCGGCTGATGATGATGTGGACTGGACCTGGAGAGCACTGGCTCAGCACCGTGTACACATCGTTCAGTGCCATGCTGTAAACCACAGTGTCGTTGATCTCCATAATCTCATCCCCACACCTGCAGGTAAGAGGGGGGGGTTCACAGTGAGGGCAGACCCAAGATCTGCCTTTTACACTTCCTGTCTTATATATAGGGAGGCGTGTGGTGCAGTGGGTTCAAACCCCACTGCAGTCAGCATGTCGTTGTGTCCCTGAAACACTTCACCCCAAATTGCTCCTCCACAGTATTGAGTATGCAAGTCGCTTTGGATAAAAGCGTCTAACAAGTGACATGTCATGTAATGTAATATCTTAGTGCACTTAATTCACAATGTGTAACAGGTATGTTGGTACTCTCTCCATGCACGCAGTAAATGCTCCTCACCTGAGTCTACTGTCCATGTGTGCTACTGATCCAGGAGAGAGGGTGTGGATGAAGATCCCAGGACAGCCGTCACCAGATGGAACACAGCACAGCCCGATACCCAGACCAACACCTGCCTCTGGGAAGTGATTCATGCAGAGAAACCTTTAATATGATAACATTAAAGAGACTGTTTCAATCAAAAGAGATTTAAAGTAATGCACACTCTAACAATCTAATGCTAAGTAATAGAGATTAGCCTTTTAGAGCTCCAATGCTTTCAGCAGGGCCCAAGATACAGCTATAAATCTATACATGTACAATAAAAAATGTATAATCACCTGAAATTCTGAAATTTAAGAAATCCTATTCTGAGTAATTGTAAGTGTATTTGGTGTATTTGGTATTTAAATAATATATCAAAAAGATTGTTGTGGTGTCTCTGCTGTTTGGCTGACCTTTGTGCAGGATGATCTCCATGACGACGCGGTCGCCCGGGGCCCTCGGGGTGCAGCTGCTGTTCAGGTAGCTGTAGTCAGCGCTGACCCGGGCCAGGCCAGAGCTAGTGCTGAGGGAGCGAGACCTGCAGAGCTGGGCCTCCGGACCACATCCTGCCCCCCCCCGCAGGCTCGTCCTCACCACCAGGGTCAGCAGCCCCTTCTTGATTTGCTGCAGAGACATTTCTCATCAATGCTTTTGGAAATGTAGGCCGGGCGTTAATGTTGTTAATTGGTTTGGTTGGTAAGGGAAATTTAGGATTTTGCATACAGAGTTAAGGCAAAATCCTAACTTCCCACACAGCCCCCAAAAAATACCCCTCACTACAGCTCCATCAGAAAGAGCCCAGTATTCACCAAGTAACGAGAAAGAAAAGCAGTCAAATGGAGAAGTGGAAAGTAGAGTAAAGTACAAGTACCTCAGCCCTTTGGCTTCTGTCAGGGAAAGATTACGGTTCTGTTGTTACCAGTAAAACACAATGAAATACATTGTCAGTGAACATTTTCCTGATACATTCAAGATCAAAATTGTATGGGATTATCAACCCAGGAAGCCAGTTTTCCTAAAGAAGTCAATATTATTCCTTATCAGAAAAATATATCATTGAACGTTTTCTACTCTACTGTGTGTTTAACATGTTTCCTTTCATTGGAGCTTCTGTGCTCTACAATCTCTTACGTAAGTAATAATCACGTTGCTTTAATTTATAAGAAATGGAAAATAAATGTGTGTAACCTCCTCTGCTTTATCATCATAAAGTACAATGAAGTTTGCTTACTTTGAACTTGTACAGGGCTTCATCATGAGTCAAACCATGCAGAGACTCTGCGTTCAGCTCCAGGATCTCATCCCCTACACACACACACACACACACGCACACACGCACAAGCACACATGCACGCACACGCAAACATGCACGCACACACACGCACACACACGCACGCACGCGCACGCACGCGCGCGCACGCGCACGCACGCACACGCACGCACACACGCACACACACACACACACACACACACACACACACACACACACACACACACACACACACACACACTCACACACATGCACACACACAATAAAAAAATTGATGTGTACTATAACAGTAAAGTGTGTGTATGAGCTCCATGTGGTCCTCACCCTCCTGCAGTCTTCCATCAGCAGCTGCTGCCCCCCCAGGGAAGATGGTCTTCACATAGATCCCCATCGGTCCATACATGCTGTCCCGGCCCCCCACGATGCTGAAGCCCAGGCCCTGCGTCAGAACAACAGCTATTATTCAACAACATACTCAGACTCAAAAGTGTATCAGTGGAGCTATCACAATATACAAATGATGTAATCTGATTACTTTCCTTAACTCTGGGATTACCTTAATAACATCTGATTCTGACTTTTTTCTATGTAACTGTAAATTTCGTTACATGTCGTACCTTTCCGTGGCCCTTCATCAGCACCACGTTACAGATGATGAACGCCTGCACGTTACTGCAGGAGTGAACCAGCTGAGCAGAGCTGAGGGAACGGGAGGGGCGCACAGGCTGGACACACACACACACACACACACACACACACACACACACACACACACACACACACACACACACACACACACACACACACACACACACACACACACACACACACACACACACACAGAGAGAGCAGGGCACTATGTAATGAATTATTAACTTTACTACCAGTAAGTACAGTAGTAACATATAGAAAGGGTTTCCTGCTCTACTCATGGCGGGGGGGCCCAGAGGAAACAGTGCTGCTGGGCCCCTTTAATGTGACACACTCTCAAGGTTCAAGTTCAAGGTTCAAGGCTTTTATTGGTCATACGAACATAGCTACAGTGTAGTTATGACGATGAAAATCTTAGGTCACAGGCTCCTCCAATAGTGAAACACAATAAAACAGAAAAACAGAAAAAATTAGTGAAATAATGAAATAGTTAATTGAAAAGAAAAAGTTATTAGAATATGATGTATTAGATAAAACATTTGTAAGTTGCAGCCAGATGAATGTTATGGATGTTGTTTCAAAGTTCAGGTGTTTAACAGTCTTAATGCCTGTGGGAGTCTGGTGCAGAAGTTCAGTTTTTTTGTGCTCATTATTAGAATAATGAAAATGTGTGGTGGTCACCAGGTTACCTTTAATGCATTGTGTTAATAATATTGAGAAAATAAATCAAATACTTGTGTCGTGGTGTGAGGGAACTCCAGCTGCTGGGACAGGGACTTCCTGTTTCCATATAAACCCCCGTTGCCATGGGGATGAGTGGGATAAAGCTCCGGGCTATTCATGATGATGCTGTCCAGATCTCCGATCCAGTACGGGTGAACACCTGCTCAGACACACCATCACAACCAGCATCAGCTTTACATTCATCTCAGTCTCTATTTTGAGGTGATTAAAAAGTATTTTTATTTATTTGTATTTTATCTTTTATTTGGACATTTTACACATCTTCATTTAACTTGTATTATTTTATTTTCATTTATGTTTATTATCTTCTTATTGAACCTTTTTACTGTTTTGTTAAAAAAATAAATGTTTTATTATCTGGTATTTTGTATTTTTTTTATTGCAATATTTTCATGTGGTTTTTCTATTTGCCTGATGAGTAATACGTCTTCGCAGAAAACAACTTTGTATCTCTAACCCATCATTATACGTATCATTAGAAACATAAACTACCTTTTACAAGCTGTTCAATCTCACGCCGCTGGAGCTATAAGCACAGCATTTCTCCCAATTAGGACCGCATTTCCCATAAGCCATGAGGCTTCCTGGTGTTAAAAGGATATTACCCCCTGGCCTCACCCCCCCCCC